CCCCAAAACCCCAAAACCCCAAAACCCCTAATGATCTCATAACCAAAAAATTTTCAATTACATAAATATATAAAATGATAAAAGTCAAAATAACATGGTAAATTATTGTCTTAATCAAAGATTGATTTCTTTTATTTTATAGTCTTGACATTATCTTATTCTCAGCAGTCGCTTATGCATCAACTGATCTGATTAAGTATTGGTCACTTTTAGAGTAAGCCTATTTTGCTTGAATTTTGAAACTAGAAAATGTGCGAAACCTATGAATATCTGGCTTTTACTATCAAATCTATCACTTATTATATTCAGAATGCTACACTTTGCAGGGTAGCTTATTTATGATGAGGATGGTAATCAAGAATAATAAGCTAACAATCTAGTTCCAAACAGACCTAATCCATAGCACGATAATTAATAATCTTGGAAAACAATTGTGGTTCTTAAGAGAATAAGCTTTATTCTTCTCTTTATAGTGTATCCATTCTTCACTGTGTGGAGTTTTGTTGGAACTGCTTGGTTTGTTGCCTCAACTTAAGAGACTCCAGAATGTGTAAGATTATATATATTTAAGTTTAAATTAGTTCTTTGATATTGAATAATACTCATTTATGATCTTTTGGATAATATTGAATTACTTGTTAGTCTTATGCTATGGAATAATGATCTTAGTTTGGAGATTTTCTTAATAAAAAGCAGTTGAAATGAGGAAATCAATCCTATAATTACTTCGTAAGATGAGAATAAATGATGTGGATAATGAGATTATTGAAAATGCAAGAGCAAATGTCTAGGAAGAAGCACAAAAGAGACTAGAGACAATAAAGACGCTTAATGAATATGGGATTTATTACATGCTGAGGGGTATCTAATAAGCTGAATTTATGAAGATTAAAACTATAAATTATAGGCAAATTCATGAGACTATAGGATTTTCTAGATGCAGTATTTGTCTGAATGATTTCGAACTTAACAAAAAGGTAAAGCAATTTCCAAAATGTGAGCATCTATATCATATTAACTGCCTTGATCTTTGGATGAATATTGAGGCTAATTGTCCTAATTGCTTAAAAACCTATGTTGAGAATTAGTACTCAGCAAGCATCTCAAGTTTGAGCTAAGTAAATGATACACTTCCAACTGAATACTTGAGTAGCGCAAGATTTTAATAACAGTCTTAAGTTCCTATCAATAACTTCCTTGTACCCCCAATGCAAAGAATTGATTTAAATGGAAATGGACAAAATAATCTCCTTAACACCCCAAGACCTCAAAGAGCAAATCTAAGTGGATAGCTTCAAAATTTGTCAGAACCTTTGTTGCAACAACCTTGAAATTATATTGACTAATTTCTATTAAGCAAATTTAATATACTTCAATCAATAAATAATCAAATTTTGGGGTTTTGGGGTTTTGGGGTTTTGGGG